ACGCTTCTCCTTGGGTAGGAACCGCACCAATTCTTCAACAACAGGTTGGAATTCGGGGGATAAAAGTTTATCAGCCTCATCCATCACACACATAGTGCAAGTATCACTCAAAGAGCAAACGCCCTTGTTGGTAAGATCCAGAACACGTCCAGGAGTACCAACAAGGATATGCACCGTGTTGTACAAACGCATAATATCATCCCTCAAAGAAGTACCACCAGTGGTAACCATAACTTGAGCATCCATATACTTGCCAAGCTCCTTGGCAACAGCAGATGTCTGTAAAGCCAATTCTCTGGTAGGTACGAGGACAAGTCCTTGAATGCCATCAGTGATGTCGGTATTAACCTTCTCCAACATAGGGATAAGGAATGAGGCGGTCTTACCAGTACCATTCTTAGCACGAGCAAGAATATTCTTACCGGCCAAAGCTGGAGGGATAGACTCCTCCTGAATAGGTGAGGGCTTCTCAAAACCCTTCTCAAAGATACCCATAAGCAACTCACGCTTCAAAAAGTAGTCCTCAAAGTCGTTACCCTTAGTAGCAGTAACATCAGTAGTCTTCACGCGAGTATCGGCAGTGGGACGATGAATTTTATCCTTCCAATCATCAGAAGTCAACAACTCTTTAGCGGCCTCAGTGACTTCGCTGGTGCTCTCCTCAGCTTTAGTGGGCTCTTTCTGAACGAGCGGTTTAGTAGAAGTGCCAATTTGAGTGGAATTGGCAGTAGACATGATAGGCGCTAGTCGTAAAATTACACGTCGAGTAAACTCTAAACAAAAGAAGACAGAGAGTCACGGAGACAAGGAACACACTGAGCCTAGCCACTAGATAGAATACAATGAATGCCAAAGACCATCCCACTGTAAACTATGCCCATCACAATGGAACATTCAAGTAGCGAAGAAACATTCAGGGACTACACGAAATGAGTAATACAAAACAACGTGCTGTAACTCTCTAGCGTTCTGTCGTACGACTCCTTGGGGGGTATTCTTGACATAGCTAAGTCGATGATCACCTCCTGTGCAAACCGATGAGAAATAGCGCTCGCCCAGATGATCGATTGGGTTCGACTGGAGTGGGCCTGTTTCATAGGAGCAATTTGCGTTGCCTTAAACTTAAGTAACGCCTTCAGTATACCTTAAGTAATTAGGACATCCTATTTTACTACTTAAGTAAGCACGTTAAGGCGCCTTAAGTTTAGGAATACTTAGGGCGCCTCAAATTAAGTATCCTTGTGAAACAGGCCCAGTAACAAGCTACTACGTATCCACAGCTAGCGTCGCAGGTCACTAGTAGAAGCTTCGCTCCGTAAGCAACAGAGCTCAGAACGTCGACTCCGATGGAGCCGTTGTTCGTGATAGCTCGATTCTGGATCACCCAAGGAGAGTGCTAAGGAATCGGAAAATTCAGCAAGGTGCGCACGGCTAACAGTGCGCACTCAAGCCAGTGGTACTGGCTCAACACCAAACTAGTAATAGTGGTGAACCACGATCAAAGTGTGTCAGGCAGGACCATGCCGGACGACAACATCGGCCGGAGGCCACACGAGCAACTGGCACCGCAGGTGACAGGATCAACCAGCACACCGCTAGATTCTGGATCACCCAAGGAGAGTCCTAAAGAGATTCAGCGAGGCCAGCAGGATCAGATCATCCCATCCTTCGATGATGATCATCGTGAATAGCTATCCCTAGGAGTAAGTTCAACTGAATGAGCAGATCAATGACGTGCAATATACTGGAGATGCTGCAACCTGGGCAACTGAAATTAGCGGCAACGTACAGGATCATGTTATACGCTGTATAACATGATCCCACGCACCGCATAACACACGGTGCGAAGGGACACCTAGCTCGCTACGCAGCGATTGAGCAGACGTTGCGTTATTGTCGAGAATACTTGCTGACCCGTAGTTTCTCTAACCACTCTGAACCTCGATAAGCAATCCTGGACTCATCAGGGAAAGAAGTGTTCCCAAGGTGATATGCGTAACGTGCAAAGTCCTGCTGGATAGCGGCACTGCTCTCGACTCGAGAGCCCTACGGCAGGGCTGTGAGTAACCCAAATAGACTGCGCAAGTTATGCATCACTGATGCGTAAGCTGCGCAAATGTGTACTGACTCGCACTCAGTGACTACTAAGTGTTGGCAACATGTCAACACCGTCGACTCGATGGGACGTTCAAACGTGGCCGGAGCTACGTTTAAAATTGTGCAGGCCATTGTGAACTTGGTGATGCAATACTAAGCGCAAGGTGATGACGAAGAGTCGGACGGTTCTTGCTTCGCTGGAGAGTTCTCACTCCTCAGAGAACCATCGGAAAGCATGATCGGGCTCTACGCGGTGTTGATTAATTTTGATAGTTCTATATATTGGAATTAGACCATTAGTTCACTATGGAATGTATGTATGATTTCTGTTGTGGAAAGACGGTGGCATCGGGAGAGCACAACGTATGTGAGTCTATATAAAGATCCATGATGACGTCATAGACACTACTATTACACAATAGCCTACTGTCAAATGCATCATGTCGGAATCTTCCGAACACGACACGCCGGTTTGAAAGATCATCTCAACTCGAAACCCCAGTGGATTTCTATCTCGGATTGCCAAGCTCGTGACCAGTTTGATGGTGATGGTCCAGCAGGTGACCGACCAATTTTTGCGGTAGAAAGAAGAAAAGTGAACCTCTGGATAAAATATACCAACGCCGTAATGCTAATGGTCCATTAGTAATAACAACGGCACAACTTTGTTGATGACGAGGCTGGACGCTAATACTACTTATCTATTATCATAATGACCATAAGAATGATGCTTAGTCGAACGTCTGTTCGAAGATGCTATTCGGCTTGTGATATTTGACCTTTTCACCACCTTACTCATACAACAAGGAGATATCGATGTAACAGTCAAAGGTCCACACTGCGAAATCCGTGGTGGGAATGTTATATCCGAGAATGCACCCTGGGCTTTATTCATCGCAGTGACAGATGCGTCCACATACGCGAGTCATAACTGAGTCCGCAGATATGGATTTTTGACTTGTACTGCAGCAGTGGCATCAGCTCTGCTCGTGGCCTTGACCGTGCCAATCTGAAGAACACACACGTTAGTGTACAATGTGCGCTACGATGCATACAGATGTCATCTGTATTAAGAGCTCCTTCCCGCCGTCGACGTCTTTACCACTACTGAGACGAGCCCTGGGGATAAAAACACCCACATCGATCACCGAACCCTCATCTAACTCGATGTGTCGTGCTGTATTCCCCTCTGCATGAATGTCATCATTGACGGGAAATGGGTTTGCCCGGAGAACTTGAAGTTCCAGAGTAGGATTACAGCGCGTACAAGCGCCATTTGAGCGCATCAGCTTGCCCGAGTGGCGATCAGTGCTGGCCAAATTAGAGTTTTGGAGGGCTCTCGGCGTACACAGGCAGACGGAGAGTACCAAGGTCCACGTTGATGAAAGTGTCATTCACCAACGAAGCTTTGGTGTAGGCAGAGACGACCAGATAGATCACTGCGATGTTTATACCCATCGTGAACAGCATCCAGCAATAAGAGTTTACTGCTAACGAAAAAAGCCAATGACTGTCAAGTGCTTTACACAACTCGTGTGTCGAGGGGAAGTCCAAGGCAGCTCCCATCGTGAATCAACTACGCGTGTGGGTGTGGGGCAAGCCCCGTCACGTGTCGAATCGCCCACAACTGAGGGGGTCGCGTGGTATGAGTCCCTCAGCTGCGCTCTAAATTTAAGAATGTCTAAAGCTCCGGAATATCGTGCTTCGAGTTGAGTAGTACTTAGTCGTACTGGATAATGCCTAAAACTGCGACAAACTTGAGACCGCTTAAACTCACGAACGTCAATGTCACAGGCCCAGCCCACGCGGACAACTCCTGCTGATAGCTCGCGTGTCAGCTAGTCTCAGCTTTATCTGAACAACCGAAGGTTCTTCAACTCTTATTGAGTAGGTGAAGCTTAAAGTGGCGTCTTCATCAGCAGACCGTAACGGTGAAGTTTGAGTAGCGATCTTGTCAATGCGTACACAAACTTGATGATAGGTGTACTCTCAGCTCGACCACTACGCTAGTGTGATTCATATCATGCACGCTGGAACATCAGATTATTCTCGGCGTTAGTCGTTTACACTTAACACCTCGACAGGTTCATAACAGTAACACTCATAACAGTAACAGCAATGCAGACATGACAAGGCGACCTCGAGGCCTTCATACTCGACTGAAAGCTAGTTCTTTGGAGGCTCGCGACCGCACCTGGAAGATTCCTCCTTTTTCGCTACAAATCCCTTTGGGAGACCTACCTGACGTATCACCACTATGATAGCGAATACCTGAGAGAAAGAAGGTACAGCGGGAGGCTCAGCCGAGTGCGGACGTACAATGGCTATGAACACGACCATCGTGGATTGCTTCACGACGAATGTCCCGGAGTTGACCTTGTTCGTGTCATCTGGATACGTAATGGTTTTGACCAGGCGCTTGGAATTGATGATCGTTGGAGAGCTCCGGACGAGGTCCGTATTCTGAAATGGGAGAGTTCACAATGGAATGGTGACTCTTGAGTTCACCCGTCTCTGACTGGTCTCATCTTTGGCTGTGGGATGAGAGTTCATCTGACCTCTCTTGTCCTCATCCTCGACAACCCCGACGGACCGCTTCTCCATAGTGTAGTCCCAAGGATGGTCATCCACGGTGTGAGACCAGTGAGGGTCCGACAGGTGGTCCCAGGGGTGCTCCTCCAGATCATGTTTCCAAGGCGCCTCTTCCACCAGAGGCAACCGGTGTTGATGATCCCGCTCACTCCCCCAGAGATGCCTTTCTAGCTCACGCGACCAATATTGATCTTCTGCTCGGTGATCCGAAGGGTGGTCCTCACTTCCGTGATACCAGGGACGGTCCTCGGTCTTGTGGTTCCACGGATGGTCATCCGCCTTGTGATTCCAAGGGTAGTCCGCGGCCCTACGGTCCCATGGATGGTCCTCCACTCTGTTGTCCCATGGATGGTCCTCCACTCTGTGATCCCAGGGGTGGTCCTCCACTCTGTGATCCCAGGGGTGGTCTTCCGCTCTGTGGTCCAAGGGATGGTCCTCGACCTGGTGGTCCCAGGGGTGGTCCTCCGCTCTGTGGCTCCAAGGATGGTCCTCGGTCTTGCGGTCCCAGCGGTGGTCCTCGGTCTTGCGGTCCCAGAGATGGTCCTCAGTTTTGTGATCCCAACGGTGGTCCTCGGCCTTGTGGTCCCAGGGGTGGTCCTCCACTCTGTGGTCCCACGGATGGTCCGCGACCTGGTGGTCCCAGGGATGGTCCTCGTGGTGCCAAGGACTGCTCTCTGCCTTGTGGTCCCAATGATGGTTTCCACCGTCATTCATCGATTGATGTCCCCTCCTCTCTCTCCACCGACTTCCATCCCGCGTCCACTCTTGACCACTTCACGGTTCCAATGAGAGTCTTCCTCTTCCACCCTTCCTTTCTCATGGCCACCATGGTCCAGCTCCCACTCGTTGGGGTCAAAAGCCTCCTCAGTGTGTCGACGATAGAGTCCTTCAACGTAGTCGTGAGCGTCGCCGTGTTTCAACTTGTTGAGAAACCCAGGATGGTAAAACTCTACTTCCTTCAGAACGTCTCTGAAGTCACTCGAGTGACCGTGTGTATCGAGTAGTCTCATCAAGTCCGCAAGACGCTCAGTGTTGTGTTCACCAGGATGGTGTTCATGGGAATCGGGGAAAAGGACCCGTCGGAAGAGGTCGAAGGCGGCCTCTTCCAAGTGACCAGGGTCTCTACCAGATGGTGGGTGACCGTTTGAGTGTTCTTCTTCACGATAAGGTTGGCCTGGCTCGTATGGCATATATTCTTTAAAAAGTCAGACAGTGTTCATGTCGGTGGACTTCGGAATTAAAGTTATCGATTAGAATGGCGAGCGCGGTCTACGTCAACTTTTCTCGATGTCTGTGAGTGTTTGGCGTGTTCAAGCTTCGGAAAGGTGATCGTTGCGACAGAACTACAATGAGGCACTCCTTCCCTTACTGCAACGCTGACTTTTTCAAGCTCTAGTCGATTCTCGTCAGGACTATTGATCGTTGTTCTTCCGACTGAAGTGAGTCCTCTGGGATAACACTACTACCCTAATAATGCTAGCGAGCCGAAATGGTCTAAGATTGGCAGCTGCTCCGTTTGCTGCGGTATCGGCGGCAAGAGCCTTCGCAACCTCCTCTGCATCTGCGCAGACGGCAGGCATGGTATCTTCTCGATTTGGCTGGCAGAGAGCGAGAGAAGACAACAGGAAGAGACTAGCGGTAAGAGGACCATACAGACCCCTGCCCTCACTTGGTCCTTCAGATGGTCTTCGCTGGCAGTGCCGCTCTTTTTGCGGGGGCTCTGGCGGTCAACGAGTCCTTCACAAGGCACTTCAGTGAGTGTGAAAACAGCATGCCCAAGGAGGATCCAATGTCGGTCTTCGGGATGGTAGACGGAATAGGTTGGAGGGTTGGTCGCAGGTATCGCAGCAAGGAGAACAAGCCCGTTCAGAAGCCTCATGAAGGGGAGCCTCATCACGAGGAGATCACTGTATTTGCTGGTAATGGGGAGTAGGTTGGTATCTTAGCACGCTCTATGAAAGATACAGATTAGGTCGGTTGCGGGCCTTTTGGGATAGGGCGTTCTGTTGTCAGGTAGCGCCAACAGGAAGCTGGCGGAGAGCATCTGCGAACACCTTGGCACTCGCCTCGGCCGAGTCGCCCTCGGTCGCTTTGCTGACGGTGAAGTTAGTCTGCGTATCCAAGAGAGCATCCGCGGCAAAGATGTGTATCTCGTCCAACCCACCTCCCCTCCTGTCAACGAGAACCTCATGGAGTTGCTTCTTATGATCTCAACATGCAGACGGGTAAGGCGGAGGTCATACGCACATCTCCCATGTGGTTTATTGGTAGGCCTCGGCGAAGCGAATCACAGCTGTAGTACCTTACTACGGTTACGCTAGACAAGATCGTAAGATGAGCAGTCGC